CCCACATCTTACTCTTGAAACGCCGATTTAGGGGGTCTGAGGCGGGGCTGAAGGCTGCAGTCGGTCTACTGACGGGCCCGGCCGGCAGGATCCGTCGAGAAACAGGGGGGTCAAGGGAGGTTTTCTTCCCCCTGGGAGAAATGTCCTATGGGTTTTTGGATCTGCGATATAAAAAAGTCTTGTCTCGGTCACGTGATGTGTCACGTGACCGGTCAGGTGAGCCTGTCAGCCGGGTCACGGCCCCTGTCAGCCGGCTGACATGTCACGGGCCTGCTGACACGGTCCGCTGACCGGTCACGGCCGCCCGGAGAGATCGGGCCCCCGGCCAATCTCCGGACACTTAGCCTCCTGGCGGGCCTCCAGGGGGTCTGAGGCGGGGCTGAAGGCTGCAGTCGGTCTACTGACGGGCCCGGCCGGCAGGATCCGTCGAGAAACAGGGGGGTCAAGGGAGGTTTTCTTCCCCCTGGGAGAAATGTCCTATGGGTTTTTGGATCTGCGATATAAAAAAGTCTTGTCTCGGTCACGTGATGTGTCACGTGACCGGTCAGGTGAGCCTGTCAGCCGGGTCACGGCCCCTGTCAGCCGGCTGACATGTCACGGGCCTGCTGACACGGTCCGCTGACCGGTCACGGCCGCCCGGAGAGCTGAGGCCCCCGGCCAATCTCCGGACACTTAGCCTCCTGGCGGGCCTCCAGGGGGTCTGAGGCGGGGCTGAAGGCTGCAGTCGGTCTACTGACGGGCCCGGCCGGCAGGATCCGTCGAGAAACAGGGGGGTCAAGGGAGGTTTTCTTCTGCCCACGGAGACGCTTACGATGGAGGGTCTCGCGCAACAAGTGGCCTTGCTGCAGGCGCAACTAGCCGCCGCCTTTCAGATGGGTGCTCTGATGGCCCCTCAGCAGCCCGCGGCGCCGACGCCGGCTGCTTCTACTGGACAGCATCCCGCAGCGGCGGGACGCTCCAATGTGTCAGGTGACACACATGCTCAGATGGTGGCAAAGTTGCGCTCAGTGCCAAAGCTGGACACTACGAGGCAGTCACCACAACGCAACATTCTCACATGGCTCACAGCTATGCAGTATGAACTAGAGTTGCATCAGATACCCACAGCCTGCTGGGTTCTTTGTGCCCTGGATTTCTTGGACCAGGCGGCACGCGACTACTATGTGCAAGCCTATTCGGCTACCGAACTTCGAGAGCTTCCCTGGGTGAAGTTCGCCACCCAGCTCAAGTCTCAACACATGCCATTGGGACTTCGAGCACAACTCGTTGCCTGTCTGGATCACCTCCGTCAGGAGCCGCAAGAATCCATGGCAACATACTACAAGCGTACGAAGCTTCTCAAAGAACAACTAGATCTCATTCCCGGTGGTGCGGCATTCGCCACCGATGTGATCCTGCGTGAACGCTTTGCAACGGGCATCACTAACGTCACAACGAAGCTTCTCCTCAATGCATGGAGTGCTTCCCATCTGCAAACGACAGGCTCGGAGCCGACGTTTCTCCAGCTCGCCACATATTGCGTCTCGCTCGATGCGTATGCCCACTGCACGATGCCAGATGGGTCCGTCAAACAGCTGAATGCTTTGACGTCGCATGTGCTTGCGGGTAAGCCCAATCGAGGTAAGGGAACCCCTGCTGCCACGGGAGTCCCGGGTCAGCCCCGTTCGGGGGGCAATCCGCAGCACACACCGGCCCCACGATACCAGTCCGGCACTGGCACGGGCAGGCCGGGTCGCTCAGGACGTCACTCGTCCAGAGATCAACGACGGGATAACGGCCGTCGCCAGGAGCGACAGCCTTCTCGATCACCCAGCGCCGAGCGCCGCAATGTCATCTGCCATGCATGTGGACGCTCGGGACACTATGCTAAGGACTGCCGACGAGCTCGTCGCAGCCAGAGCCCTCATCAGGCCCGCGCACGATCCCCTCGTGCATCGTCCTCGCCAGCGCGCGAAGATGAACAATCCCCCTCTGGTGAAGAGGACGAGCCCACTACCGCTGCCGTGACGACTCGGCAGGGTAAGCGTGCTGACGCTCAGTCTCGTCGACGCCACCACGTGCAGTTTGATGGCGAAGCACACGACTTGCTGCAAATGAATACGCTGACAGTTCAGACCGCCTCGACGCTGACTCAGGCGGCAGACATCGACTCCAACCTGCTCTACCTGCCCATTCAAATTGAGTCGGAACGAGCAGAACAACCCAGAGAAATCCTGGCGCTCCTGGACACGGGGGCGCAGGCATCCATTCTCTCGCGTGCGATTGTAGACGAACTCAGGTTATCTACGCACAAGATCGCCACCCCGGTGAAGGTCCAGTTCGCCAAGGACGACAGATCGGTTATAGTTCGGGACGCATGTCACCTTGACTTCCGGATCACAGCACGGAACTCACCCCTTGTCTGCATGAACTTGTCTTTCCACTTTGCAATCTCCTGCTGTGACTTGGCTCTCTCAGACAAAAGGCTTTTTTCAACAGCTTCGATGTCACGCTGGGACTGTTCAAGTGCCTTTCTAAGCTGCTGGGTCTCTTTAGCACTCTGCATTGCCTCAATCTTGGCGTTTTGGACTTGCAACTGTAAGCGTTTGACAGAATCCTCTTCCTGTAAAAGTTTCCTCCGTATTTGTTCGAGTTGGGTCTCGTGAACATGCTGCTGGATGCTTGCAAGGGGTTCGAAATGCTGTATCCCTGTCATCCCTGTCCCTCTACCACTCCTACCCCCCTGTCTAGCTGCAGTCATAGAATAAAATGTATCGAAACTGTCTCCTCCAAGCTCTGGCTCGTCAGTAGGCATCGAGAGTGCATCATTGCAAAGGAGCTTTGGACGCTTCAATACAACATCCAATGTCGGCGAAGAACAAGTGGTGGGATTACGATTCAAAGCCAAAGCCGTAGTAGCACGATTGAAGAAACGCTCTCCAAGCTCTGGCTCGTCAGTAGGCATCGAGAGTGCATCATTGCGAAGGAGCTTTGGACGCTTCAATACAACATCCAATGTCGGCGAAGAACAAGTGGTGGGATTACGATTCAAAGCCAAAGCCGTAGTAGCACGATTGAAGAAACGCTCTCCAAGCTTGAATTGGGCAGTATCAATGTCGTAACCTCGCTTGAAATACCGCATCTCCTTCCTGTTATCAATGCTTTTGAAGACAAGTGAATAGCTCTCAACAATTCAATCCAATAGCCTCTTCAATTGATCACTACAAACAAAGCTCATGGCTCGGGGATTGAACCAATAGTCACCACCTTCACATGTGCCGTCAACAACAATCTGCAGTTTCTTCAATTGATCGTCAGGCGTCAAAATGAGATCCGAAGAAACAAGTTTTCGCTTCCGGTTTCTATCGACAAGACAAATACCACTTGATGTCAAAAGAGAATCATGCACATCCAGGACAAAATCCAAAACTCGGTCCTTGCATCTCACAACATTGTCAGAAGGGATTCGCAGGGTCTGCATCCTCACAACATCCTTGATTCTCCCATTCTGCACAAGCTCAGCATCCACATTGATGTCCAAGAAAGAAGATGATAGAAGACTCGTTATAGAAACAACAGCAGTGCCCTCATATTTCAATCTCGTATCGTTGATCTCAAACTTCTTCGAACCATTGCCGTGCTTCCCTCTCATCGAGCTCAATGGAATGTCGTCATTCAAAACTTCTAAATTAGGCACAACACCCCTGTAGTGTGTCTCCAGCTACTACCCTACCCTACACCGAGATATATGACCCCACCCACTCATGCACTCTCATATTACTACCCCCACCCCATAATCCCCACTCTAACACACCACTCTTACTACTCTCCAGTTACCACCCTACCCCCACATCACAGAACAGACCGCAATCCACCAGAGCCGGTCGGTACCGTGCCGGGCCCGGACTTCTCAGTACCACCCGGTGCTCGGAGGGTAGGGTACCGGGCCTGGATATCTCAGTACCACCCCGGGTGCTCTGACATTCATTGAAAATGCAGTACAAAATATTTACTCAACTTTGCCCTCCCTGCCGGACAAGACTTTATGCTCGTGTCCGGCATCTGTCAGACACTTTGGGATTTTAGGAAATCCTGGGATTTGAACTAGGAAAAATCCTGAAAACGCTATCTAATTTGGGGTAGGAGAGTCTTAACCTAGATCTTAACCTGAGGTGGAATAATAGACAGAACAAGGTGTTTCTTTTACTGGATTGTCTCACAACATTGGGATGGCTTCACTGCACAAAATTTGTCTTTTGACACTGGTATGCAGTGCGACATTATTGTATCAGTTGAAAGCATATGTGGAGTTGCCTTCTCACACCAAAGGTTGGAAAGAAATTCGAGTTGATGATTTGTCGGAAGATCGAGTAGAGGATCCCAATTTCGGTGGTCGTTTGCTTCTCCCCTTAACGCTATGGAACATGCTTCGCAAAAGAATTCAACGTCGTTTGACAACTATTATTCACACTTGTGCGTTGCAAGACTGGAGAACCTTCGATGCGGATTCGAATGTTGTGGACCCAGGATTTGTGATATGGACCTGCAGACGGTTGTGTGGGGGCAACGGAGACAGGTTGCGAGGGCTGACGCATGCCCTTTATCTTGCATTGCAAGCGGGCTACAATCTGAGAATAGATTGGACCAACCCTGTCAATATTGACACCCTATTCACAAATCGTAGTTTTGCTCTTTGGAATACGGTTGTGAGCACCAGAAATTCAAGATCAGCTCAGATTGACATAATGAATACCAGGGAGAGCGTTTTATGTAAAGTAAAACATCACAAGGTTATCAGGTTAGCAACTAATATGGATCCTGAGCTATCTTCTTGCGATACATCTCAATATTTGAGGGGAATGTTCGTTGGAAATGGAACATCAGACATATATGACGTTTTGGGTGACCGCAACAGAATGATTGGTTGTACCTTTTGGTACCTGTTTGCTTTAGGTGACCGTATTACTGATCAGCTGATTAAGGAATTGAAATTGCTGCACCAGTTCGCAGGAAATAGAAATTGGATAGCATGTCACGTGCGAATGGGTGATGGCTCCATGGGATTGGGCAACCACTCTCGACTCACGAGTAGTGTTCTTGATACATCCTACAACGTAATTTCTTGTGCAAAACGTCTTGCATCGAGACTCAACTTTCCAAGGTACGTTATAGTAGTGGTTTCTGACAGTAACGATTTCAAACAAACGATACAGAAGAAATTTGCTAATTTAACGTATATTTCTCAAGTTTTTCCAGCACACACGGACTTGGGTTCTCACCACAACGGACTGAAAATTGCGCTCGATTCGTGGGTAGATAACCTTCTTCTGGCATTTTGCGATGCGATAATTGTGTCTCCTTCTGGCTTCAGCGTTCTTTCGGCACAAATTGGTCGATACCGCCATTTTGAGGTGGCCTATCTCGGAAGTTGTTGACTTGGCTGCTCTCGCTGCTGACCGCAGAATTCAAAATATTACCTTGTTTCGGCCACCTTGAGTAGGAGGAAAGGCAATGTAGCTCACAATCAAATAGAGTTTATATATGGTGTCAGGCTAACACATCAGAACATGTTAGGGCGAGAACATGTCAGGGCGTAACATCACAGTGTTCTTCGGACATTTAAGGGTTCCTAGTGCTTGTCGGAGTTAGAGACTCATAGCTCATCATTGGAGAGTTCATCATAGACATCATAGACATCACTTGGGCAGTTTTTCCATCGGGTGTATATCAGGCTAATGATTCGAGCGGGGTAAATCAGTATGTTCCCGCAAGATACGCGCGCACGATCCCTGGGTCAATCTTGATGTGGTCTTTCACAAACAAATTCCTAGCAAAATATGCGCGCATGAACACCCTGCACGTATTGGTTCAAGTACGTCAGACGAAGAGGAGGCCTTCCTAGCAATCTTGCTAAGGTCTTCTCATGTCTCGATGCCTTTGTTTCACATCCTAGCATACTGTATGTCTCTCATGTGTACATCAGAGACATGGCTTTGAAGTCTGCCCGACCGATATCATCTTGATGATTAATCGAATCAACCTCCACCTCACTGGCCAGAATTTTTAACCCAAGATCCACCAAAGACTAACTCTCAGTACTCCTGAGATCCTTACACCAACCTTATTCACCTCAACGATACACAGCTGTGCAGTCTCTAACACCTTCACTGATGATGATAGAACTCGAACTCTCAGAAGAACCACACAACACCACCAACACTTCCTTTATTCGCAGCAGTCACCTTCCCTTCAGTCCCTTGCAACCCAGTACAATGCACAGCGCGCCCTGGACACGTGTCCTCCTAACCCCCTCTTCTCCGCCTGACCCTCAGGCTCGTCGATTCCTTAATTCCAGACCTATGTCGAAACCCACTTCCATCTCGCTGAGCTTCGTCCACGGATGAGACGCAATACCCTGAACTTCTCGCCGTCTCCAAGAACTTATCCGAGTTCTTACACCCTCCCTGACGAAGTTAAGCGAGATTCTCAGCTTCCTTTTCCACTTCATCCTTCATCCTCTGGGAACCCCCTTTTTAAACATCTCCCTGCTCCTCCTCCAAGCTGCAACACCGCGCTCTCCTCCTCCAAGCTGCCTGCTCTTTCCTGGAAATCGCAATCTCCTCCTCCATGCTCCAAGCTCCTCCCTGCACCCAGATCCTCCTGCACCCAGATCCTCCTCCATGCTCCAAGCTGCTTCTTGCTCAGGCTCCTAGATCCTTCTCCATCCATCTTTTACCTACACACTCTCCTTCATAGAAACCTCGTCAGTACCATCAACACTCCTCCACCACCTGAACTCGACTGTGCGCACTGCACTTGTTCGTCAGGCTTCCCCTCTGATCAGTCAGGCTTCCCAGACACCTTTCTGATCATCTCGTCATCCATCCCATCAGTCAGTGTGCTTCAAATCCCATCGATTTCAATTGTCACCCATCTGCCTCGTCCTCACAAGGTCGCTGGAAGGGGTCTGGAGGGGAGTTTGTCTGGGGGAAAACGCCGTTTTTCTACGCTAAGTCCCGCGACCGGGCCCGCCTCAGCATATATATCACGCGGAGGACCCTGCAGGCTCTCAGATCTGTCTATCTGGACCCCGACCGAGCCCGCCTCGTCCTCACAAGGTCGCTGGAAGGGGTCTGGAGGGGAGTTTGTCTGGGGGAAAACGCCGTTTTTCTACGCTAAGTCCCGCGACCGGGCCCGCCTCAGCATATATATCACGCGGAGGACCCTGCAGGCTCTCAGATCTGTCTATCTGGACCCCGACCGAGCCCGCCTCGTCCTCACAAGGTCGCTGGAAGGGGTCTGGAGGGGAGTTTGTCTGGGGGAAAACGCCGTTTTTCTACGCTAAGTCCCGCGACCGGGCCCGCCTCAGCATATATATCACGCGGAGGACCCTGCAGGCTCTCAGATCTGTCTATCTGGACCCCGACCGAGCCCGCCTCGTCCTCACAAGGTCGCTGGAAGGGGTCTGGAGGGGAGTTTGTCTGGGGGAAAACGCCGTTTTTCTACGCTAAGTCCCGCGACCGGGCCCGCCTCAGCATATATATCACGCGGAGGACCCTGCAGGCTCTCAGATCTGTCTATCTGGACCCCGACCGAGCCCGCCTCGTCCTCACAAGGTCGCTGGAAGGGGTCTGGAGGGGAGTTTGTCTGGGGGAAAACGCCGTTTGCGAGCCATGGTTAGGGCAGTACAGAGCGGTGCGACGTGCCCCGAACAAGGGGAGGCTCATGGCGTGTAGAGAGGTCGTTCAAACTTGTTTATAAAATTGTACCATAAGAAGGCTCTACAAATTAGTTAGTCGACTACCCCATGATCTCACTGCAACTTCTGGGGTGCAGCCCTACTTCTCTGTTTATACTCAACCATTCCACAATACAGTTTAAAATATCTTATTGGAAAACAACATCAGAGTTATAAACCTGAAATTTGGACCCTGTTTGAAATCCTCAAACACTCCAACCCCCAATCCACATAGAAAGCAGAACAAACCCCTCGGGTGACGGGAAAACATACAGCCCAAAGCAGACAAAGCAAAATGTCAACGCTATGGCGGGGCTGAAGGCTGCAGTCGGTCTACTGACGGGCCCGGCCGGCAGGATCCGTCGAGAAACAGGGGGGTCAAGGGAGGTTTTCTTCCCCCTGGGAGAAATGTCCTATGGGTTTTTGGATCTGCGATATAAAAAAGTCTTGTCTCGGTCACGTGATGTGTCACGTGACCGGTCAGGTGAGCCTGTCAGCCGGGTCACGGCCCCTGTCAGCCGGCTGACATGTCACGGGCCTGCTGACACGGCCCGCTGACCGGTCACGGCCGCCCGGAGAGATCAGGCCCCCGGCCAATCTCCGGACACTTAGCCTCCTGGCGGGCCTCCAGGGGGTCTGAGGCGGGGCTGAAGGCTGCAGTCGGTCTACTGACGGGCCCGGCCGGCAGGATCCGTCGAGAAACAGGGGGGTCAAGGGAGGTTTTCTTCCCCCTGGGAGAAATGTCCTATGGGTTTTTGGATCTGCGATATAAAAAAGTCTTGTCTCGGTCACGTGATGTGTCACGTGACCGGTCAGGTGAGCCTGTCAGCCGGGTCACGGCCCCTGTCAGCCGGGTGACATGTCACGGGCCTGCTGACACGGCCCGCTGACCGGTCACGGCCGCCCGGAGAGATCGGGCCCCCGGCCAATCTCCGGACACTTAGCCTCCTGGCGGGCCTCCAGGGGGTCTGAGGCGGGGCTGAAGGCTGCAGTCGGTCTACTGACGGGCCCGGCCGGCAGGATCCGTCGAGAAACAGGGGGGTCAAGGGAGGTTTTCTTCCCCCTGGGAGAAATGTCCTATGGGTTTTTGGATCTGCGATATAAAAAAGTCTTGTCTCGGTCACGTGATGTGTCACGTGACCGGTCAGGTGAGCCTGTCAGCCGGGTCACGGCCCCTGTCAGCCGGCTGACATGTCACGGGCCTGCTGACACGGCCCGCTGACCGGTCACGGCCGCCCGGAGAGATCAGGCCCCCGGCCAATCTCCGGACACTTAGCCTCCTGGCGGGCCTCCAGGGGGTCTGAGGCGGGGCTGAAGGCTGCAGTCGGTCTACTGACGGGCCCGGCCGGCAGGATCCGTCGAGAAACAGGGGGGTCAAGGGAGGTTTTCTTCCCCCTGGGAGAAATGTCCTATGGGTTTTTGGATCTGCGATATAAAAAAGTCTTGTCTCGGTCACGTGATGTGTCACGTGACCGGTCAGGTGAGCCTGTCAGCCGGGTCACGGCCCCTGTCAGCCGGCTGACATGTCACGGGCCTGCTGACACGGCCCGCTGACCGGTCACGGCCGCCCGGAGAGATCAGGCCCCCGGCCAATCTCCGGACACTTAGCCTCCTGGCGGGCCTCCAGGGGGTCTGAGGCGGGGCTGAAGGCTGCAGTCGGTCTACTGACGGGCCCGGCCGGCAGGATCCGTCGAGAAACAGGGGGGTCAAGGGAGGTTTTCTTCCCCCTGGGAGAAATGTCCTATGGGTTTTTGGATCTGCGATATAAAAAAGTCTTGTCTCGGTCACGTGATGTGTCACGTGACCGGTCAAGTGAGCCTGTCAGCC